ATATATATGTGTGTGTGTAAAGAATTGTGCAAGGATAGAAAAAGATGTGTTTTGTTTTAGAGACAATCAGAATCTAACATTAGGAATCAGAAATTGCTTGTTTTCAGTGCAATACAATCTCAACTGACCAATAACTGTAAAGTGAAGTATCACAATGCAGACAAGAAACAGATGTGCAATTACAGCAGATTAGTAGTGCAAATGACAATGAATAGTAACAATGCAAAGGATTGTGCAGCAGCAGGTGTGTAATAATAAAAATAATGCATTAGTCTTATATAGCACTTTTCAAAGAAGCTTTACAATTTTCATGCATCATTCATTCACACTAACATACTGATGATAGTAAGCTACATTGTGTCCACAGCTGCCCTGGGGCAGAATGACAGAGGTGGGACTGCCATGCTGCAATACCAGCCCCTCTGACCACCATCAGTAGGCAAGGTGGGTGAAGTGTCTTGCCCAAGGACACAACGACTGAAACGGCTGGACTGGGGGATTGAACTGGCGACCTTCCGTTTCCAGGGCAACTCCCCTAACCACTCCGCCACAGCCACTCAGAACACTTTACAATAAGTTTACAATAAGTKTAAACMCTTATTGTGATTTTTGTCAACACTTATTGTGATTTTTGGAAACACTTGTGGTTTTTGGGCATGTGCTGGTTATAAAATTGAACAGCTGTAGGAAGGATCTGCAATAMTGCTCTTTTGTGCACCTCTRATGCAGCAGTCTATCACTGAAGGAGCWCTCCAGTTCAGCCACAGCTTCATACATGGGGTGGGAGACATTGTTCATCAATGATGTTATTTTAGTCAGAGTTCTTCTTTCTCCCACCACTTGCACTGTCGAGGGGGCATCCCAGCACAGAGCTGGCCTTCCTGATGAGCTTATCTAACTGCTTCCTCTCAGCTGCAGTTAAGCTGCCGCTCCAGCTAACCACCCTGTAGAAGATGGCTGATGCCACCACAGTGTCAAAAATGTCTTCAGGAGCACTCTCTGCACTCCAGAAGACCTCTGACCCTTCCYGTAAAGAGCATCCATGTTKTGGGTCCAGTCCAGTTTATTGTTCAGGTGAACACTCAGGTACTATCTCAATGTTCACTCCCTGGATGTTCACYGGTGTTAGTGGGGTGGGACTGCRCCTGTGGAAATCCACCACCTTTGGTTTTAGCAACGCTGATCATGAGGTGGTTCCGCTGGCACCAGTCCACAAAGTCCTGAGTCCACTCTCTGTACTCGGAGTCATCCTCACCTGTGATGAGGCCGACTATGGCAGAGTCATCAGAGAACTTCTGAAGGTGGCAGCCCAGGGTGTTGATGGAGAAGTCTGCAATGTAGAGGGTGAACAGGAACGGTGCCAGCACCGTTCCCTGAGGAGCTCCTGTACTGCAGACCAGTGTGTCTGAGACAGCCCTGTGTCCTCACATACTGTAAGCGTTCAGTGAGGTAGGTAAAAATCCACTGGGACATGTGGAGGTCCACTCCAGACAGCTCCAGCTTGTCCCTCAGGAGTCCTGGCTGGATGGTGTTGAAAGCACTGGAGAAATCAAAGAACACAACCCTCAGTGTTGAAGCTCAATCTGATTGGAGACTCTGCCAGATATTCCCAGCAGACACTCACTATACATTTGGGCCTGCCAGGTCTGACTGGYTTTCTCCCCCACCATTGGAGCCAACTCACCACCAGGTAGTGGTCAGTAGACAGATCTGCCCCTCTCTTCACCTGAATGTCCAATACATGTGGCTGCAGATCAGATGAGACAACAACAAAGTCAATGATCAAACTGTGGCCTAAGGTGTCCTGGTGCCAAGAGCAAATATGGACATCCTTATGTTTGAACTTGGTGTTCGTTATGGATAATCCATGACAAGCACAGAAGTCCGGGTTCAGATTGGGGGGGGGCATTCCTCCCAACCACATCCCTCCAGTTCTCACTCTCATTGCCCATGTGAGCATTGAAATCCAGGACAAGGGAGTCCCCATAAGGAGCACTCTCCAGCACCCCATCCAAGGACTCCAGAAAGTGTGGGTAATCTGAACTGCTGTTAGGTGCTTAAGCACAAACAAAAGTCAGGACCTGCCCCCCCCCCCCCCCCCCCCCCCCCCCCCCCCCCCCCCCACATGCAGGTGGAGGGAGGCTACCCTCTCRTTCACCGGGGTGAACCCCAAYGTACAGGCACCRAGAYKRGGKGCAATAAGTATGMCCACTCCTGCTCTGCACCTCTCAGCATGGCCAACTCCAGAGTTAAAGTGTCCAACCCCTCTCAAGGAGACTGGTTCCAGAGCCAGAGAGGTGCATCAAGGTGAATCCAACTAGTCAGAACCTCAATCTCACACACCAGCTCCAGCTCCTTCCCCACCAGATAGGTGACATTCTACGTCCCTAGAGCCAGCTTCTGTAACTGAGGATCAGACCGCCAAGGTCCCTGCCTTCGACCACTACCGGACCCTACGGCCCCTCCCACCGGTGGTGAGCCCATGGGAAGGGGAACCCACATCTCCTCCAGCCTAACTTATGGGAAAAAGCCCGGCCACCAGGTGCTCACCAACATATCCCACCTTTAGGCCTGGTTCCAGAATGGGCCCTCGGTGACCCGTGTCCGAAAGAGGGAACACTGTCTCCATTKATGTTATTCATCATAAGGGGTCTTCAGGCTGCACTTTGTCTGATCCCTTACCTAGGACCTGTTTATCTTGGGTGACCCTATCAGGGGCATAAAGCCCCTGGCAACAGCTCCTAGGAAAATTGGGACACTCAAACCCCTCGATCACGATAAGGTGGCAGCCCAGGGAYACTAGACAGTTGTTTAAGAAAAAACGTACTAGTGCAAATTAACAAAATAAGCAACAATGTAACAAATATTTAAATATAAACTTCTTTGATTTACTAACTGTCCTGCCTTAGACAAAATAATTTCTAAAGGTAGAAATGTTGGAATTACTCACAGCTGGACATACAGAAGAGAAATGCAAACAGAAGTATTGATCTCATCAAGCTGGTATCAATCCAATATTGATATCCACATTGGCATATATTATTGAAACTTAGACTGATATGCCCACTCCTCATTAAAAAGTTACAACACACTAAAACAATATAAAAACAGGCTGGAAAAACTGCTTTATTTCATAAAAGGAGAACATTTACAAGATGTGAAATAAAATAACACAAAACAAAAACAGCAAAGGCCTGAAACAAGTAAACAAACAAAAAAACAGGACATATTGAAACTAGCATTTCTTGCAAGTATTGTGGCTTAATGCTTTCACAAATCTTGAAGTATCACTTAGCACTTGGGGTATGAGTTAGAGATAACTTRGTTAATACCACACCAAATTTTAACAACATCTAAATATTTGTCAAATAGATTGAGATATACCCACTTTGAGTTTAAGGCTTTAGTATTAGCCCTGGTGACCATCATGAATCACGTTGATTCCAAATGGTAATCAGTGGTAAATGGTAAATGGTCTCAATTCAATTCAAATTCAAAAATACTTTATTGATCCCAGAGGGAAATTTGGTCTGAACATATATAGAGCTTTATCAAGCCCCTTCGGACCCCAAAGCGCTTTACACTACAGTCATTCACCCATTCACACACTGATGGTTGTATGGTATATGGTAGCTGCCCTGGGGCACACTGACAGAGGCAGAGCTGCCATGCACCGGTGCCACCAGAMCGTCTGACCACCATCAGTAGATGTAAGTCCACTGATAACTTCAAACAATTATTTAAGATCTGTCCACTGGTACATGAGATGCACTATATTATCAAAAGTATTTGCTCACCCATCTAAAGGACTGTGCACCTGTGCAAAAAGCACGGTCCACAAAGACATGGATGGCAGAGTCTGGTGTGGATGAACTTGACTGGTCTGCACAGAGTCCTGACCTTAACCCGATAGAACATGTTTGGTATGAATTAAAGACTGAGAGCCAGGCCTTCTGTCCAACATCAGTATGTGACCTCAAAAATGTGCTTCTGGARAAATGGTCAAAAATCCACATAAACACTCCTAAACCTTGTAAACAACCWTCCCAGAAAAGTTGAAGTTGTTCTGGCTGCAAAGGGTGGACCAACATCATATTGAACCCTATGGATTAGGAATGGGATGTCAYTTAATTTCATATGTCAGTCAAGGCAGGTGAGCAAATACTTTTGGCAATATAGCGTATATTAAATGAGACAAATGAGCTAGAACGTATTTATTCTGATAATAATCTTTGTTTAACATATTTGTTTTGTAGGACAGGAAAGCAGTGACAAAACACAGCATTATACAATTTCTATTTGGATTAGACAATTTACAGTACATCTAATAACAATATAAAAACTTCACCATTTTGTAACTGTACAGTTTAGTTTGTTTCTTTTGCAAAGCATCTTAAAAGCATTAATCACTTCTTCTGTTTTTAAAGAGTATATAATAGGATTAAGCAAAGATGGAACAATGTGAGTTAAACTGGAGTTTATAATCCGAGCATTTGGATGAATATAGGAGGTCATAGCAGCTATATTGGTGCCCAGCAGTGGTAGAAAGAAAACAGCAACAAGAATCAGGTGAGAAGTACAAGTTTTCAGTGCTTTAAGTCGTTGATCCTTTGATGTAGTCCTGCTCAGTGCAAAAGAAATAAAAACATAAGTTAGAAATATCAGTACAGGAGGAAGAAAAATGACTGCAATTAAGACAACATAAGCCATATTATAACTATAAGAAAAGTCATTACAGGCCAGRCGATATATTGGTCCATGATCACAGAAAAAACTTTGTATCACTAAAGATCCACAGAAAGAAAGACGATTAATAAACCCAACCATGGCTGCTAYAAKGCTTATCCAAAAAATCCAAGTAAACAGCAGCATAGCAACTACAGATTTATTAGTCACAATACTGTGGTATCTYAAAGGGAAACAWATKGCTATAAATCTGTCATAAGCCATTGCCACAAGTGTCCATGACTGCACACATCCAAAAACTACAACAAAGAACATGTAACTTAAACAAGCTTCATAGGCAATATATCTCCTGTCAAATAAAAATGYGTCCAACAGTTTAGGGATGAGAGCAGTGCTCCCACACAAATCTGCGAAAGCCAGGCTAGACACAATTAAGTATTTGGGAGTATGAAGAGTTTTCACAAGGTAAATAACAGACAGGAGAAAACCATTTCCAAGAACAGTCATGATGTAAACAAAACACAAGAAAACATAATAATATTTAACATGAGGAAGGTTGGAAAACCCACTGATGAAGAAACTTTCAGGACGAATAAATGTGGAGTTCAGTAAGGTCGTACGTTTTCCTTCTTTGTACATTATTATTATCTGTTTGACTAGATATGATGAAGCAATTCACAAAATCAGCAACACAACGGATGATGCAGCTGTTTGACAGATGTAGCTGGAATCTGACACGCTTGTTAAAATAAAATGTGTTCTGTTCTAAAGCGAACACAATGTTGTACTTTTATTTGTTACTGTCTGATCATGAATTGGATGTTGACATGTGTCACTGTGTGACCGTCTAATCTCTTTATGTCATGGACAGAATGATGCAATTTTAGGGCTCAAGGTGGTTGGATTTTATTTTATTTTTTTTTTTGGAAATGGGAATTTTCTCTCAAAGTTAAGCAGTGTCATTAATCATAGAGTTCCAGTCCTCAGTTTACACGCACGTCTAAAACTGCACCCTGTTATTCTCACTGTTCAAAGAAGAAGGGGAAAAAAAAACCTCCAGCCTGCTGCATGACACAGACAGACTTCCTTTGCAGCTGGGGTGGCAGCACATTTACATGGTTGTAAGTGAGAAAAAGGAGTTTGCCCAGTTCTAACTGTCTACTCTTTTTCAGGGTGTACCTTGGTTTCATCTGGGTTAAAATTCCTGCTCGAACAGCCTGGCCAAAGAAGCTCACCACCCAGAATCCCTGGATTCACGACAGCATTTCTCTTGAGATTTTTAGTTGTTTACTGACTGGGATGATTTTTAGGAGTCTGGAAGTAAACTCCAGGGATATTATTTTAACATTTACTTACACACTAAGTCAAGCGGTTAGATTAATTGAAAAATATCATAAGAACTCAGAAAATGACCCATTTAACACTCTTGAGACAGCAGGAAAATTGTGAAAAAATACCAAAAATTAAATGTCCACATTGGCTTTTAGAATTTTCTAGTTGCTGTATTTTAATAATAAGCGATGTAGCAAGTACAGCAGGAATTAAAAATCAACCACACATCAGAACAGATTAAATGCATTAAACCCTTTAACTTTCCTTAAGCTGCGGTAATATGGTCAAAAATTGTAAAACGGTAAAAAACATAATAAAACAATTTTAAATGAACATGGGCAGAGACCAACCATAAGCCATACCTGCATTGTGAGCTTTTCTGGTCTGTAAGCAAGATGCTAGACTGGATTCTTCTAAACAGAGTGAATAGGGTTGGAATTGGTCTCTTCCTCCCAGCTCTTCCAGCTTCAAAAATACTGTTCACTTCAGCTTCCAGTAATGCAGAAATGCTTTATCTTCTGCTCTTAGTTGATGCCAAACCTCCCGTCTTCAGCAGGAATTAAGGACAGGTTCAGAGTAAGCTGGAGCAGAGGACAAAAGAGACCCCAATTCTTGAGATACACGAGTTTATAAAATCTGATTGGGAGGGCCTTCAGAATTTTTTTTGATCAGTCATTTGCCTTCATTTAGTTCCTTGTTTATTTTAATTGGCCAGTCGTGTTTCTGCCGACATTTCTCGTCTTTCTTCCTTTTCCTTTTTTTCCCTCTTAACGCTTAACACTGTTATTTTATTTTATTTATCTTATTTATTTTTTGTTTTTCCCTTCTTTTAATCTTTGATCTGTTTTTATACACCATATTCATTTATTTAGTATTTATTTACTTCAGAACAATTACTGTCTTACTTAACCTTCAATTTTTACTCATTTATCAGTGATCAAACTATGCAAACCAAAGCAAAAAAGAAAATCATTATTTTTTTACATGAACACATGAATGAAAAACTTTCCCTTTTTGTCTTTTAACCCTTTGTTCCTTTTTTATAGGACATAGTTGATTTCACTTTGTTTAATTATAGTAAGGACATGGATTGATCTCCCCTATCTTTAATGACTTCAGATCTTAACAAAAATCACCACTAAAACCTATTTTACTGATTCAACACTTCCAAAATCATTTAACACATTAGATTTATTAATCACTCATCGTAATCACTGACAATCATGTATCTCTTATATATTTATTTTTTATCATCATTATTCTTTATTAAGGTTCCTATTAATGTTCCTCTAATCCTGCCTTTCACCTGCTTTTTTTCACTCTCCTGCTCCTCTCAGTTACAGGAAGCAAAGGCCCCAGCCAGAAGCCTGCTCTACAACAGTTATAACGTTCACTTTCATTTTGTAATGCTGCTGATTCTATTCTCACTAACAACAAAAGAGAAAAAAAWGTTTTACTTTCTTCKCATCAGACCCTACCRTTAAGCATAACAACCCCTAATCTTCCAGCTAGGATTYACAGGGAGTTTCCATCTTCATCACCACATCACTTGACAGCAGTTAGAGGTACTTCCTTTGATTTCTATGGGAAGAAACTTTTGCCATTAAAAGCTGAATCTCTGTTTGCACATTTTGAAAATAAATGTGTTGGTTTGAAAATGATTTTTCTTAAACTGAAACTGAATTAAAAGTTTTAAATATGAAATATTTTATTTTGTTGAACTGAAAATTCAATTTGATTACTTTCAATTTCAGTTCCAAAATGACTTTATTTGTGCCACACATCCTGGTACTTGAGAAAACCACAGATCGTTAAACACAGATTGACAGATTTACGTTTCACATCAGTAAAACTTCCTTTATGGCAAAATACATTATGTGTTCAGTCTTGAGAAAACAGTAATCAGTGTTGCCAGGCATACAGTAATTATCATATTTGTACAAAAATATTTTTTTTAAAAATCTAGTAATATAGCCTACAATAATTTGACAAATTTAACGCATAGCTAAATTAACATGCAGCTGTCTGACATTAGAGAGGAGGTGGATTGTGGGACAGTGTGTCAATTTAGTGACTTTGTCACTATATTTAGCAAGTTTTCAGGCCTCTCTAGGGAGTGTTTTTTTTTTTTTTACCTCTGCCAAGGGAGAAGGTAATGTTATCGGTCGCGTCTGTCTGTCTGTCTGTCTGTCTGTCTGTCTGTCTGTCTGTCTGTCTGTCTGTCTGTCTGTCTGTCTGTCTGTCTGTCTGTCTGTC